AGCGCCCGCCGTTCGAAAAAAAAACATCTTTGAATGTAAGTCTATGGGGCCACTCGGGGCGATTCTCAGCCAGAGTGAAATCGCCCAAAAAGAGGCGGTACTCCACAGAACGTGACATGACGCTGATTGGACTATATCCAGAGGCACAGTGACGGCTAGCGTGACTCTGTGGTTCAATGACATTGGTGGTGCGTCGCCCAATCGCCCTAATGAAGAAACCACCCCTGCCTGCGCCACAGCGGGAACAACGCTAGGAAGATGAACAGTGTTCACGTTGAAATTATAATCCCTGGATGCTTGACTCTGCGAGTTCCGAATGGACCCCACTCCGTCTCGTGCCGTGCCTCCCCACAGGACAATCGCGATGTTATTGGCACGACGTTTTTGTTTTTTTCCACGGCTCACACAAAAATCACGACGACACTGCGGCTCTCAGAGCCACACAGAACCCTCACAGCAAGCACGGAAACTCCATCGCCGCGATTTGTAAAGAACACAAGCCTCCACCCCCCTCGTCTCATTGTGTTGACATTTAAACACCCACTCGCAGCCCCCACCACCACACCACCATCGCTAACTCACTCGAGCTCCATCGTTCACTCTGTCCTTCTCTCATCCCTCATTCCTCTCCTTCGCATCCCTCCCTCCACTCAACTCATTCTTCCATCCCTCCCTCTCCCCTTCACTCCCTTCCACCCTCCGCCAATTCATTCCACCCTCCATCAACTCATCCCTGCCTCCGTCTCTTTTTTTTTACGATCAGTGGAAACAATAATAATTGTATTAATACAAAATAAATGTAATTCTATTAATATTTATGTTATTTAATAATTTATTTATTTTTACCTATGTGACTTTACCGACAAAACCTAAGAGTATATTATCCTCCCTCTCCTCCCTACTCTCCTCCCTCTCCTCCCTCCCTCTCCTCCCTCCCTCTCCTCCCTCCCTCTCCTCCCTGTCCTCCCTCCCTCTCCTCCCTCTCCTCCCTCCCTCTCCTCCCTCTCTCTCCTCCCTCTCCTCCCTCTCCTCCCTCTCCTCCCTCCCTCCTCCTCCCTCTCCTCCCTCCCTCTCCTCCCTCTCCTCCCTCCCTCTCCTTCCTCTCCTCCCTCCCTCTCCTCCCTCCCTCTCCTCCCTCCCTCTCCTCCCTCTCCTCCCTCTCCTCCCTCTCCTCCCTCCCTCTCCTCCCTCCCTCTCCTCCCTACTCCCTCCCTCTACTCCCTCTCCTCCCCCTCCCTCCCTCTCCTCCCTCCCTCTCCTCCCTCCCTCTCCTCCCTACTCCCTCCCTCTACTCCCTCTCCTCCCCCTCCCTCCCTCTCCTCCCTCCCTCTCCTCCCTCCCTCTCCTCCCTACTCCCTCCCTCTACTCCCTCTCCTCCCCCTCCCTCCCTCTCCTCCCTCCCTCTCCTCCCTCCCTCTCCTCCCTACTCCCTCCCTCTCCTCCCTCTCCTCCCTCCCTCTCCTCCCTACTCCCTCCCTCTACTCCCTCTCCTCCCCCTCCCTCTCCTCCCTCTCTCTCCTCCCTCTCCTCCTCCCTCTCCTCCCTACTCCCTCCCTCTACTCCCTCTCCTCCCCCTCCCTCTCCTCCCTCTCCTCCCTCCCTCTCCTCCCTCCCTCTCCTCCCTCCCTCTCCTCCCTCCCTCTCCTCCCTCTCCTCCCTATTCCCTCCCTCTCCTCCCTCCCTCTCCTCCCTCCCTCTCCTCCCTCCCTCTCCTCCCTCTCCTCCCTACTCCCTCCCTCTCCTCCCTCCCTCTCCTCCCTCCCTTTCCTCCCTCCCTCTCCTCCCTCCCTCTCCTCCCTCCCTCTCCTCCCTCCCTCTCCTCCCTCTCCTCCCTACTCCCTCCCTCTCCTCCCTCCCTCTCCTCCCTCCCTTTCCTCCCTCCCTCTCCTCCCTCCCTCTCCTCCCTCCCTCTCCTCCCTCCCTCTCCTCCCTCTCCTCCCTCCCTCTCCTCCTCCCTCTCCTCCCTCCTCTCCTCCCTCCCTCTCCTCCCTCCCTCTCCTCCCTCCCTCTCCTCCCTCTCCTCCCTCCCTCTCCTCCCTCCCTCTCCTCCCTCCCTCCTCCCTCCCTCTCCTCCCTCCCTCTCCTCCCTCCTCCTCCCTCTCCTCCCTCCCTCTCCTCCCTCTCCTCCCTCTCCTCCCTCTCCTCCCTCCCTCTCCTCCTCCCTCTCCTCCCTCTCCTCCCTCCCTCCCTCTCCTCCCTCCCTCTCCTCCCTCCCTCTCCTCCCTCCCTCCCTCCCTCTCCTCCCTCCCTCTCCTCCCTCTCCTCCCTCCCTCTCCTCCCTCCCTCTCCTCCCTCCCTCTCTCCTCCCTCTCCTCCCTCCTCTCCTCCCTCCCTCTCCTCCCTCCCTCTCCTCCCTCTCCTCCCTCCCTCTCCTCCCTCCCTCTCCTCCCTCCCTCCTCCTCCCTCCCTCCTCTCCTCCCTCCCTCCTCCCTCTCCTCCCTCTCCTCCCTCCCTCTCCTCCCTCCCTCTCCTCCCTCTCCTCCCTCCCTCTCCTCCCTCCCTCTCCTCCCCTCCCTCTCCTCCCTCTCCTCCCTCCTCCCTCTCCTCCCTCCCTCCCTTCCCTCCCTCTCCTCCCTCTCCCCTCTCCTCCCTCCTCCCTCTCCTCCCTCTCCTCCCTCTCCCTCCCTCTCCTCCCTCTCCTCCCTCTCCCTCCCTCTCCTCCCTACTCCCTCCCTCTCCTCCCTCCCTCTCCTCCTCCCTCGCCTCCCTCCCTCTCCTCCTCCCTCCCTCTCCTCCCTCTCCTCCTCTCCCTCCTCCTCCCTCCCTCGCCTCTCTTCCCTCCCTCCCTCTCCTCCCTCTCCTCCCTCCTCTCCTCCCGCCCTCCTACTCCTCCCTCTCCTCCCTCCCTCCCTCTCCTCCCTCCCTCTACTCCCTCCCTCTCCTCCCTCTCCCTCCCTCTCCTCCCCTCCCTCCTCCTCCCTCCCTTCCCTCTCCTCCCTCCCTTCCTCCCTCCCTACTCCTCCCTCCCTCTCCTCCTCCCCTCCTCTCCTCCCTCTCTCTCCTCCCTCTCCTCCCTCTCCTCCCTCTCCTCCCTCCCTCTCCTCCCTCCCTCCACCAACGCATCTCTCCCTCTCATCTCTCCTCCCTCCCTCCACCGCCTTCCACACTCAACACGATTCAGCTCCTCCCACCTGCTGGCCCGGCTAATGTGTCGTGTGTTGTGTGTGTGATGTGTGTGTGGTGTGTGTGTGTGATGTGTGTGTGTAATGTGTGTGTTGTGTGTATGTGGTGTGTTGTGTGGTGTGTTGTGTGTGATGTGTGTGATGTGTTGTGTGTAATGTGTGGTGTGATGTGTTGTGTGTGATGTGTGTGGTGTGTGTTGTGTGTGTGATGTGTGTGTGGTGTGCGTCTGGTGTGTGATGTGTGTGTGTAATGTGTGTGATGTGTGTGTGATGTATGTGTGTGTTGTGTGTGTGGTGTGATGTGTGTGTGGTGTGTTGTGTGTGTGATGTGTGTGTGTTGTGTGTGTGGGGTGTTGTGTGTGTGTGTGATGTGTGTGTGATGTGTGATGTGGTGTGTGGTGTGATGTGTGCGTGTTTTTTCTTTCTCCCCATTTCGCTCGGTTGAACTGCGCTCCCCTGCACCCACGCACACACACGCACTCACACACACACGCACGCACACACGCACACACACCCACACCCACGGGCGCTTGCACACACAACAACCGCCATTCACCACTAAGTGGCGGTGACGTCACCACGACGCCTGTGCCAGGCCATGTGCACCTTGAGGCCACGTGAAGTGTCGAACGCCCGCTGGCAGGAGGTCACGGGGCAGTCCCAGCAGGTGCCACAGGTCGACTGACCGAGATGACCGAGATGACTGGCTGATGCACCACCTGTGCACCCTACTGTGCCAACTTGCTGTGCTTTAGCCACCCGGCTCCGCTCGTTGTTGTGCACACACACGCATACACGAACACACACACGCACACACACCCACACACACACGCAGACACACGCACACACACACGCACACACACGCATACACGAACACACACACGCACGCACACACACCCACACACACACGCAGACACACACACACGCACGCACACACACGCACACGCACACACACGCACACACACACACGCACACACATACACACACGCACTCACACACACACACGCACCCACACACGCACACACGCACACACACCCCCACACACACACACGGGTGAAACCCAGCCAGCCCGCACGCCCGCACTCACTCACGCGTGCCTCCGTAGTTGGGTAGCTGGAGCCCCCCTCCCTCCCTCCCTCCTTTTTTAAAATCCTTTATATTAAGTTCACTTGCGTGCTTGCTTGCGTGCTTACGACCGTGCAAATCTTTCGGTCGTGTTTTAACCCACTTCCCGTGATCCAATCGAGCTGACATTTTGCACACAGACTCGTTGTGTGTGACAATTAATTTTCGTGAAAAAAGAATTTCCAAAATTTGACACTGTTTAGGGAAAACAAATTAAATATTTAATTACCAATTGCTTAATGGTGGCAGGCAATCATCTGACCCATAGGTGGCAGCCATCTCAAGCCAGAGGACGAGAGGACTCTAGCCGCCACGCATATAAAGGATTTAGAGTGAAAAACTTTGTTTTTACGGGTTAATTTTTTTCACTATTGAAGCATCCTTTTTTTTCTTTTTTTTATGATCAATGGAAACAAGAAGATGCTCGGTGTATTCGGCACTTTGCTTCGTTCATCATTTCGTAAAATTTTTATTATGTTAATTTTTTAATTTTTTTAATTAAATTTACATTTTTGAAGCATACTTGGGGAACATCCCCCACTGCACCCCATGATTGACTTCTGCCTGCACGATACTCCACTGGAAGTCCACGTAGCGTGAGAGGTTCATCTTGTTCCTTGCCTCTTTCTTCGCCTCCCACCCTTCGTCCTTCCCTCCCTTTCTCCCTCCCTCCCCTCCCTCCCTCCCTCCCCTCCCTTCGCTGTGGCTGCCAGGGGATTGCCATTCAGAGAGGTTCTCAATTCCACACGGAGGAGCCGCTGCTGCTGCTGCTGCCGCGTATAAAAGTGTGGCGGTGTTGGTTGGCGGTTTGCGGAGACTTTGGCGATATCAACAGCACCTCGAGATTGCGATTTAGAGGACAGAGCCCGGGCGTTGGAGACTGCTCCCACCACCGCCTCCTCCTCCTCGTTCCTCCTCCTCCTGTTCCACACCGCCCCCCCCTCCACCACTCCACTCCACTCCCGTCGGCTATTCATTGCAGCTCTCATTCTCTCGGGCGGAGGCCAGAGATAGGAGAGGCAGAGGAGTGGAGAGAGAGAGGAGGGGGAGAGAGCGAACGTAGACCACAGATTCAACGCAACTTTAGTGAGACACACAGGGAGGAGTGGAGAGAGAGACAGGGGAGAGATACAACGTAGACCACATATTCAACACGACTTTAGTGAGACACACACAGAGAGAGACAGGGGAGAGATACAACGTAGACCACAGATTCAACACAACTTTAGTGAGACACACAGAGAAAGAGAGAGAGAGAGAAGATATTTTAAAAAAAATATTTTTTCGTCGTTCTTGGCTTCAGCCGCGGGGTTGACGTTGCCGAGATGATCGGCTGTCGGTGCGTGAAGAGGAAGCGAGGGGAGTTCGCCCGTTAGGAGGAGGAGTGGGGGGGGGGTTCCGACTCGTCTAGCGGTCGTGACGGGCACCGCTGCTGTCATCAGCAGTTTGGGTGGTGGGTGGTGGTGGTGGGGGGGGTCCCTGCGTCGTTTGGTGCTCAGCGAGGAGCGACACCGGCAAGAGTCACGAGTCACGACGCGGATCCATCCAGCTGACGGCACCGGTGAGTCCATTACACACACACACACAAAGACAAAGATCACCCGTGTAGGCTTAATAGATTGTAGGGGCAAGTGCTGTTAGTGCAGTTCAAAAGAAATTCGTTTTCAAATCTCTTCAAATCAAACCTGATGATGTCATTTAAAAAGACAAAGATCATCCGTATAGCCTTCACAGACTGTTGAGGCAAGTGCTGTTAACGAGCACCTATGAAGGCCGGAACGGTACACGAGGGGAGGTGGGTGGCCAGCACCACGCCCGGCCGCCTTTGTCTCCCCAGTGGCGATGTTTACGCACCGCGCTAGTACTAATTTCAGGCTGAGTCGACCTAGGGGACGCCCAGGACCGGTGCAGATAAATCGTCACCGGGGTTGCCGGTGAACGAGAATCGAAACTCGGGTGGGCGGATTGATAGTGCGGCACGCTAACCGCTGTGCCACCGCTCCCCCCACGCACACAACACACACACACGACACACACACAACACACACACGACACACAGAACACACACGACACACACACAACACACACACAACACACACACACAACACACACACAACACACACACAACACACACACACAACACATACACAACACACATACAACATACACACACCACACACACAACACACGACACACACACACAACACACACACACAACACACATACCACACACACACACAACACACACACCACACAACACACACACAACACACACACACAACACACACAACACGACACACACACACAACACACACAACACACACACGACACACAACACACGACACACACACAACACACACAACACACACACAACACACACACGACACACAGAACACAAACACAACACACACAACACACACAACACAACACACACACCACACACACACACGACACACACACACACACGACACACACACACACACAACACAACACACAAACACAACACACACACGACACACACACGGCACACAATCAAGTCCACAACTCAGACGAAATGTTGGTGTGCTCAGTTGGAAAACTTCTGTGCAATTTTGTCGGCGATGTTCGCCTTGCAAGTGGCAGATTGGATTCCGTCTCCCGCTCAGGGGTGCCTTGTTGGAACAATGAGGGCGATGCGCCAGCAGTAGCCCTAGCATGGGAATTGCAGGGGCTACGCTTTAACCTTTGCGCCGAAACGGCCGTGTTGAGCACTTAAGTTCTCTGTTTAACCCGTGAGTGTGTGTCTGTACGTGTGTGTGAGTGTGTGTCTGTACGTGAGTGTGTGTCTGTACGTGAGTGTGTGCGTGTGTGTGAGTGTGTGTCTGTACGTGAGTGTGTGTCTGTACGTGAGTGTGTGTCTGTACGTGTGTGTGTGTGCGTGTGTGTGAGTGTGTGTCTGTACGTGAGTGTGTGTCTGTACGTGTGTGTGATTGTGTGTCTGTACGTGAGTGTGTGTCTGTACGTGAGTGTGTGTCTGTACGTGAGTGTGTGTCTGTACGTGTGTGTGTGTGTGCGTGTGTGTGTGTCTGTACGTGTGTGTGTGTGCGTGTGTGTGAGTGTGTGTCTGTACGTGAGTGTGTGTCTGTACGTGTGTGTGATTGTGTGTCTGTACGTGAGTGTGTGTCTGTACGTGAGTGTGTGTCTGTACGTGAGTGTGTGTCTGTACGTGTGTGTGTGTGTGCGTGTGTGTGAGTGTGTGTCTGTACGTGAGTGTGTGTCTGTGCGTGTGTGTGAGTGTGTGTCTGTACGTGAGTGTGTGTCTGTACGTGTGTGTGAGTGTGTGTCTGTACGTGAGTCTGTGTCTTACGTGAGTGTGTGTCTGTACGTGTGTGTGTGTGCGTGTGTGTGAGTGTGTGTCTGTACGTGTGTGTGTGTGATACGTGGGGAGCGGTGGTGTAGCGGTTAGCGCGCTGCGCTACGAACCTGGCGACCCGGGTTCGATTCTCGCTCACGGCCAACAACCAGTGAGGATTATCTGAACCAGTCCCGGGCCTCCCCTAGGTCGACTCAGCCTCAAATGAGTACCTGGTGCGGTGTGTAAACATCGCCACTAGGGAGACAAAGGCGGTCGGGCGTGGTGCTGGCCACCCACCCCCTCGTGTACCGTTCCGGCCTTCATAGGTGCTCGCTAACAGCACTTGCCCCTACAGTCTGTTAAGGCTATATGGGGGATCTTTATCTTTGTGTGTGATAGGTGCTACTCGCTAACACCACTTGCCCCAACAGTCTGTGCAGGCTCTACGGGGGATCTTTGTCTATGTGTGTGTGTGTCCATGTGGGGAGCGGTGGCGGAACGATTAGCGCTACGCTACGCTACGAACCCGGCGACCCGTGTTCGATTCCCACTCACGGCCACCAACACCCAGTGACGATTCTATGAACCGGTCATGGACCTCTCCTAGGTCGACTCAGCCTAAAATGAGTATCTGGTGCGGTGTGTAAACATCGCCAATTGGGGCAGACGAAAGCGGCCGGGTGTGGTGCTGGCCACCCACCCCCTCGTGTGCCGTGCCGGCCTTCATCGGTGTCACTCGCTGACAGCACTTGCCCCGACAGCCTGTCAGTGTGTGCCGTGGCACGGCCGAGGCAGTCGCCTCTCAGGGGTGCCGCCGCATCGCCGATGATGACCGCTGGATGGGTACGGTGCGAAAGAATTTCACACACGCCCCGTCAATGGCATTGACATTTGACGGGTCCATCGGTGGGATTGCTAAACCGTTTCTTTGCCTCTTTACTTTTTAGCTTCCAAATACAAAATAAATAAATATCGAAGCATTTTTAGCCTCGCTCAGTTGTTGGCACGTGTGGAAACTCCCCGTTTCTATGGCCGGGGACCGGTTCATCTAGTGTATGTTCGCGTGACGTATACAGGATGGATGTATAGCCTCCTCATTGCGTGCCGGGAGTCCTTTATTCAGCGGTAGTGTAACATTTGGAAATTCCACATTCCTCTGGCATGGATGTACCCCAATATGTAGGTGAAGCGGTGTTGCCCCATCAGTGCTTAGTGAGAGGGATGATGGCCCTGATGATGATGATGGTTGTTATAATGATTGTAATTACGATGGTGCTGATTCCTGAAGTTCATGATAATGAATGATGCAGCTGTTGCCGATACTGAAGATGATCGTGGTGATTGGGATTGAAATGATAACAATGCTGCTGCTGCTGATGATGATGAGTGGTGGTGGTGATGGTGATGGTGGCAATCGATGACGATGATGATCCTCACGACGGCGAAATGTTATCTCCCTCCCTCGCCTGGTATGCAGGAGATCGTGGGTTCGATCCCGACCCTGATGCGTGCATATTTGGACTTTGCGTGTCTCTCTTTCTCCCCGTGGCAGTGTGGATTTAAGTATTAAATATTTTTATTTTATTTTACCAGGTAAGGCACCACTGAGCTGTGTGGCTCTTTTTTTAAAAGCGACCTGGCCACAAATGATAGCCTCAACGAAGTGGCTTATCACGTGGAGATGTCTAGCAAGCAACCAAACACTCTAAACGCGTGTTGATGTTGATTCTCAATGTGTAGGGAAAAATCGGAGGACCCGGTTCGAAACATCCACGTGACCACGGGGAGAACACACGGACGTTCGATATGCAGGCGTCAGGGTAGGGATCGAACCGACGACCTCCTGTGTACCAAGCGAGGTAGTTAACATCTCACCACCGACATTGAATCAACACGCGTTTAGAATATGATCATGATGATGATGATAAGCCCACTTCATTGAGCTATCATCTGTGATAGGCCAGGCGGCTTACCGGTCAAAAACCAAAGAGCCGTAGAACTCAGCGGGCTTTAACGCTGAAAAAAAAAACACACACCAGTGCATTAAAAAAACGAGTTCAGTTTTGACATCGTTTCACATTTCGCGTGGAACGCGGGGGAGCTGCGTTTGTGAGCGAGGTCTCTGTAAATCAATCGAGGCGTGGTGCTTCACGCCCTCGATTCATCACTCCGAGGGCGTGGAGGGTGCCCAGCACAGGAACCTCGCTGTGCTGGGGCTAGGAGCAAGCCCGGTTCATTGCGTGGTACAGCAAAGGGTGGGTGGGGGGGTGGTTGACCTTGACCTCCCGGCCAGCAACACTGATGAATGTTGACCCCTCCACCACCCACACCACTCCCTCCTCTTCCTAGCACGCGTGGAAATTCTCCGGGTTAACCAACTCCCTCCCTCCCTGCCTCCCCCAGCACGCAGCGCTTTGCTCAATCCACTGCTGGATGAAGAGCTCCCAGTTCCATGTTGATGATGATGGGGGTGTGGGGGGGTGGCGGGGGGGGTGCATTTGTGAGATCATACTTCACCACGATTGGGGTAGAGCGTTGTTGGTGCAGTGGAACGCTCGCTGCCCTATGACCCCGGTGACCCGAGTTGGACTCCCAATCACGGCCAACACCGGTGACGACCAATATCGCCCCACCACGACCACTCCAGCAGCCCGCACTGACCAGAATGGTAAAGTATGGTCGAACAAACAACGTGCCTGACATGGCGTTGGGAGATCTACATCCAGCAAGGGGATTTACACTTATTTTGTTTTTGAAATCACAGTTTTAATTGTCATTATTGTTCGTCGTTAATATCTCATTCACAATCAACGTTTTTCGGTGTTGGATCGCGTTATTTATAAATGCGTCGTAACCCTCCACCACCCGACACGGCCAATCGGCAAAAAGTGTCACGTTGACAAAAGACAAAATAGTTCACTGCTTTAGCCCCACCGGTGTGTTGAAGCGTGAAACCACAACATTTACAATTTTTGAGTAGCACGACGTTTCGCTGGTAATTACATCCAGCATCATCGGGCAATTCGTGAACCACCGCACCGCTCGTCAGCCTCGTTACCGTTCCAGCGCGCTGACCGCTGCGCCACCGCTCCTCTCACAATCGCATGCCATCTGTGTCGTTTAACTTAATCGGAATGGGGTGGAGGGGGGGGGGAAAGCAACGTTTGAGCAGCAGCATCACGATCACGATCACCGTCAATCACGGGGGCCGCACGCAATCGTGTGGGTAAACTCAACCGTGGCGCTAAACACACAGCAATACGACCGCACGCGCGCGCTCAGTGAATGAATGAAGACATTCCCCATGAGCACAATGCACAGCACCGGGTGTGGAGGGGGGGGGGGTGCAGAGAGAGAGGGGGGGGGGTCGCGACGATGATTGGACCTCGCTCCGAGTGCCCTCTGGGCTCACAGCGCTGCGGGTTACACGTCGCGCCGCGCACACAATGCCCCCCTCTGTCCGTCAGGCTGATTGTCGGTGCGTCTGTCTGTCTGTCTGCTCAGTCTGTGTGTCTGTGTTCCGTCCGCTAGCCTGTCTGTGCGTCTCTGTCTCTGCGTCAGACTGTCCTGTCTGTCCGACCACCACTCAGTCTGTCCGTCTGTGTGTCAATCTGTCTGTCTGTCCATCAGTCAGTCTGTCCGTCTGTGTGTCAATCTGTATGTCTGTCCATCAGTCAGTCTGTCCGTCTGTGTGTCAATCTGTCTGTCTGTCCATCAGTCAGTCTGTCCGTTTGTGTGTCAATCTGTCTGTCTGTCCACCACTCAGTCTGTCCGTCTGTGTGTCAATCCGTCTGTCCCACCATCAGTCAGTCTGTCCGTCTGTGTGTCAATCTGTCTGTCCCACCATCAGTCAGTCTGTTCGTCTGTGTGTCAATCCGTCTGTCCCACCATCAGTCAGTCTGTCCGTCTGTGTGTCAATCTGTCTGTCCCACCATCAGTCAGTCTGTTCGTCTGTGTGTCAATCCGTCTGTCCCACCATCAGTCAGTCTGTTCGTCTGTGTGTCAATCTGTCTGTCCCACCATCAGTCAGTCTGTTCGTCTGTGTGTCAATCTGTCTGTCTGTCCACCACTCAGTCTGTCCGTCTGTGTGTCAATCTGTTTGTCTGTCCACCACTCAGTCTGTCCGTCTGTGTGTCAATCTGTCTGTCCCACCATCAGTCAGTCTGTTCGTCTGTGTGTCAATCTGTCTGTCCCACCATCAGTCAGTCTGTTCGTCTGTGTGTCAATCTGTCTGTCCCACCATCAGTCAGTCTGTCCGTCTGTGTGTCAATCTGTCTGTCTGTCCACCACTCAGTCTGTTCGTCTGTGTGTCAATCTGTTTGTCTGTCCACCACTCAGTCTGTCCGTCTGTGTGTCAATCCGTCTGTCTGTCCACCACTTAGTCTGTCCGTCTGTGTGTCATTTTTTACGTCTGTCTGCCTATCACTCAGTCTGCCCGCCTACACACCCCATGTGTCGGTTTCTCCGTCCACTACTCAGTCTGTCCGTCTGTGTGTCAATCTGTCTGTCTATCCACTACTCAGTCTGTCCGTCTGCGCATGCATCTGTCTCTCCGTCCATCACTCAGCGTGGTGCTGGCCACCCACCCCCTCTTGCCCCAACAGTCTGTTGAGGCTACATGGGGGATCTTTGTCTCTGTGAGCAGCGTGGAACAGACATCGTCACGTCCACAACGGTGTCCAATCACCGCACTGCAGGTCACGCATCTCGCTCATTCACCCGCCCACCCACTCACCCGGTCACTCATTCACTCACCCACCCCGCTCGCCCAATCGTTCGCTCACTCATTCATACGCCCACTCACTCACCCAGTCACTCATTCACTCACCTACCCCGCTCGCCCAATCGTTCGCGCACTCATTCACCCACCCACTCACTCACCCGGTCACTCATTCACTCACCTACCCCGCTCACCCAATCGTTCGCGCACTCATTCACTCGCCCACTCACTCACCCAGTCACTCATTCACTCACCTACCCCGCTCGCCCAATCGTTCGCTCACTCATTCACTCGCCCACTCACTCACCCAGTCACTCATTCACTCACCCACCCCGCTCACCCAATCGTTCGCGCACTCATTCACTCGCCCACTCACTCACCCAGTCACTCATTCACTCACCCACCCCGCTCACCCAATCGTTCGCTCACTCATTCACTCGCCCACCCACTCACCCAGTCACTCATTCACTCACCCACCCCGCTCGCCCAATCGTTCGCTCACTCATTCACACGCCCACTCACTCACCCGGTCACTCATTCACTCACCTACCCCGCTCGCCCAATCGTTCGCGCACTCATTCACCCACCCACCCACTCAATCGCCCATTCACCCACCTAACCCCCCACTCACGCACCATCTCACTGACTCACTCGCTCACCCCATTCCCACGCACTCATTGAACCGCTCAGCCACCCACTCACCACACTGCAGCTCGCTCCTCTTACTGCTTAGTCCCTGACACCGCTCCACTTTGCAATGCTTCTACTCCCACCACCACCAACATCGTCTCGTCGTCCCGTTCCCCAAGTTCTTACAACAACTTTGCTCAACCCCATCGGTACCTCATTTGCCAGTAAAAAATATGATAATTGGTTTTTTACCCTTTTATCTGGCAACAAAACTGACACCTTTTTTTAGTAGTGCGACTTTTGGCGTCATCTGGTCCAACACCATGTGAGACTAGGCTCTAAGGAAAGCTGTCTCGGGTGTGGACCAATCAACTTCAAGGACAGTGCATACATTATCAGAGTTATGTTTTTTGTTTGCATTATGGCTACAGGTATTGCGGTCTATGCAAACATGACTCCTCGTAAAAAAGGTGTCAGTTTTGTTGCCAGATAAAAGGGTAAAAAAAACAATGATCAACTTTGCTCAACTTAATCAAACGTGTGACACCCCAATCCATCACACCTTCAACAGCGCTGCTTGTTGCTGGCCGCTTGGTGTGTTTGGCGGGGGGGGGGGGGGGGTGCGTTGGGCACCGTGTGAGCTTATCAATTGTAACTTAAACGAAAAAAAAACCCCATCTAGGATTGGGTTGACGAT